CTATTTTAACCTGGCCTATAGGGATAAATCCCACTTGGTCTGGGTGGATGATCTTTTTGATGCGCTGTTGGATTCAATTAGCTAGTATTTTATTGAGGATTTTTGTATCTATGTTTGTCAGGGATATTGGTCTATAGTTTTCTTTCTTTGTTGTATCTTTTTCTGGTTTTAGAGTTAAGGTGATACTGGCCTCACAGAAGGAGCTTGGGAAGTTTTCCTCCCTTTCAATTGTTTTGAATAGTTTAAGAATGGGAATTAGTTCTTTAAAAATTTGGTAAAATTCATCAGTGAAGTCTTCTGGTCTTGGACTTTTCTTTGGTGGGTAGGTCTTTATTACTGATTTAATCTCAACTTGGTTGTTGGTCTGTTTAGATTTTCTATGTCTTCATGCTCCATGCATCTACAATCAACTACACTTTGACAGACAAGCTGAAATCATTTCCTGGAGAAAGGAAAGTCTCTTCAACAAATGGTGTTGAAAAAAATTGGATCTCTAGATGCAGAAGTGTGAAACAACACCCCTACCTTATGCCCTATTAAAAACTTAATTTACACAGAATCAAGGATCTAAACCTAAGACCTGAAACCATCAAAGTACTAGAGGAAAATGTAGGGGAAATGCTTCAAAATGTTGGCATAGGCAAGGACTTCTTGGATAAGACTCCGGAAGCCCAGGCAATAAAAGCAAAAACAGACATATTTACAAGGTATCACATGAACCAATATTATGATTAAGTCTATCATAAGACTAAAAAATACCACAGCAGTAATTCCCTTAGTACTTAATGTTTTATGATTAAAAGTACTTTTGTTGTGGGGGCTGGCATTGTGGTGTAGCAGGTAAAACCACCATCTGACACATCTGCATCCCATATGGCACCATTTCCTGTCCCAGCTGCTCCACTTCCAATCCATCTCACTGCCAATGGCCTGGGAAAAACAGTGAAGATGGCCTAAATCTTTGGGCCATTTCCACCCATGTGGGAAACCCAGATGATGCTCCTGGCTTCAGCCTAACCCAGCCCTGGCCACTGCAGCAATCTGGGGAGTCAATAAGCAGATGGATGATCTCGATCTCTCTCTCTCTCTCTCTCTCTCTCTCTCTCTCCTCCATTCTATCTCTGTAAGTCTTTCAAAGAAATGAAATCCTTTTTTAAAAATTTAAAAATGTAAACATTCATACATATATATGTGTATCTAAATTATACAAGTGAGTACTCATGAAAATATCAAAAGAAAACTGGAGTGACTATATTAGTAGAAGACAAAGAAGATTTCAATAGAAGGCATTTTAATAATAAAGAAGCACAGTTCATAATGATACATGTGTCGATTCATTAAGAGAACATAATTCATACCTGGATATGCATCTAATAAAATATTTAAAATAGGTGAGAAAAAAACTTAGTTGAAAGGGGAAGTAGATACCCTTAAGACTGGTCGTTTCAACCCCTCCTCTCAGTAATTAATAAAATTAAATAGTTATAGAACAAGATCAGATAACACTACTTACCAACTATAATTAGTGCCTATTAGACACTCTACCCACAATAACAGAGTTTACCTTATTTTTCGAATTGACACAAAAAAATTCAAGACAGATCACAAAAGAAGACTGAACAAATTTCAAAGAATTGGGCCGGAGCTGTGGTGCAGTAGATTAATCCTCTACCTGCGGCACCAGCATCCCATATGAGTGCCGGTTGTAGTCCCGGCTGCTCCTCTTCTGATCCAGCTCTCTGCTATGGCCTGGGAAAGCAGTAGAAGTTGGCCCAAGTCCTTGGGTCCCTGAACCCATGTGGGAGACCCAGAAGAAGCTCCTGGCTCCTGGCTTTGGATCGGCGCAGCTATGGCTGTTGTGGCCAATTGGGGTATGAACCATCGGATGGAAGACCTCTCTCTGTGTCTCTTCCTCTGACTGTCTATACCTCTCAAATAAATAAATAAAATCTTTTTAAAATTTCAAAGAATTAAAGTTTTTAAGGTACTCCTATGTCTACAACAGAATTAAAAATAGCTCACTTGAAATCTATAAAATCCTTCTAAGAATATAAAAACACACAAAAAGAAATCACAAAGAAAAATACAATATATTTTAAACTAAAAATAAAGCAAAACTCATGTTGTGAGGTGAAGCTAAAATAATGACTAGGAAGAAATGCATATAATTAAAATGTTGATTAACAAAAGCCTCAAATTGGTCTAAGCTTCCACACTAAGAAAGTAGAAAAATAAGAGAAAAACTAAACCTAGCATAAAAAAGAAGGGAGAATGAAGTAAAACAAAGCAATGAAATAGAGAAACTTAGAAAATTAATCTAAACAAGATCTGGAACAGGTGCTCTGATACAGTGCCTTGAAACCACAGCTTGGGACACCAGCAACCCATTATCGGAGTTCCTAGGAGAGTCTGACCTGCACCCCACCCTGTTCTGATCCAGTTCCCTGCTAAGGCACACTTTGGGAGTTGACAGAAGGCTCAGGTACTTGGTCCCTTGCCATGCCTATGGAAGACTTAGATGGAATTCCCAGCTCTTGCTTCAGACTGGCCCAGCCCCAGCTATTACAAGCATCTGGGGAGTGAACCTAAATGGAAGAGGCGTACCACCCCACCTGACCCTGGCCCAACAGACACACAAACACATTGCTTTGTTGCTCTTTCAAAAAAAAAAAAAACTTTAAATGAAAACAATATCTGTTACTTGGATAATATTAGTAATATAGATAAACATCTAGCCAGATAGGCAGACTAAGAACAGAAGGGAACTTTCTCAAGCTTATAAACAGCATCTGCAAAACAGCACACCAGGTATATTTCATGGTGTAAGACAGTGGTCTCCCCTGGGGTCGGAGATATTGCAAGAACAAACAATCTCTTCCTTCTCTTCAAAATTCATGGAGTGTGTTAGCAGTTTTATAAGGCAAGACAAAAGAAACAAAATACTAATTAGAAAAGAAGTAAAATGGTCTTTATTAAGTAGAAAAGAATCTAAAAAATAGAACTCACAAGGGAATAATTTGGTAAGTCTCGAGGTGCAAGCTCAGTACACAAAATCAATTGCATTTCTGTTTCCTAACAACAATTGGAAAGTGAAATTAAATGTATAATACTATTTGCATTGATATAAACTACTTAAAGATATAGTTAACATATAAACAAAACTTATCTACTAAAAACTAGGAAATATTGATAAGTACAAATTGAAGGCTTAAATAAATGAAAGAAAAGCATTGGTTGTGATGAAGACAAGATGCTGTCAAGCTGTTAATTTTCCCAAATTGATCTAGACTCCAGAGCACGCCGAATGAACATTCTAACAGTCGCTCTGTTAAATTGAAAAACAGGCTCTAAAATTTATAAAAAAATGAAAAGTACCTAGAATAATTAAAATGTATTGACAATAAAATTAGAAAATGTATACGACCTGATTTCAGGATTTAAAATATTTAAAGCCACAGCAATCAAGATCATGTGGCATTGACTTAGAGAAAATTCATCAAGGAAAACAAATAGAATCAAGAAATAGGTCAAGACATATGTTCTCAGATTTTTTCACAAAAGTGACAAAGCAAAAAATAAAAAACCAATCTTTTCAACAAATGGTCCTGGAACAGATACTCAGAGATTTTAAATTTCATGTTAATATTTATCTCATACACATGTAAAACTTTTCTCAAAATGAATCAAAAACCTAAATGTGAAAGCTAAAACCTCACATGTTTAGGGTGAAAAAATAACAGAGGGGGAAATCTTTGTGGCTTTTATAAGCAAAGATTCCATAGAGGCCGGCACCGCGGCTCACTAGGCTAATCCTCCGCCTGCGGCGCCGGCACCCCGGGTTCTAGTCCTGGTTGGGGCGCCAGATTCTGTCCCGGTTGTTCCTCTTCCAGTCCAGCTCTCTGCTGTGGCCTCGGAGTGCAGTGGAGGATGGCCCAAGTGCTTGGGCCCTGCACCCGCATGGGAGACCAGGAGGAAGCACCTGGCTCCTGGCTTTGGATTGGCGCAGCGTGCCGGCCACAACACGCTGGCCATAGTGGCCACTTGAAGGGTGAACCAACAGAAGGAAGACCTTTCTCTCTGTCTCTCTCTCTCAACATATGTCCCTTTCAACATATGTGCTTGCTCAGGGCTTTCTGCAGGTGATACCAATGGCTAACTTTCTGGTCCTCTCCTTCTGATCTGGGTCAGTAATCACTCAGGCCATCAGTGATCCTGAGCTCCGTCCATGGTCCAGCAGCAAATGCAAGACGAGTAAATCTTCTTGAGTGAGTGAAAAGAAAATAAAGGAAAGAGAAAGCAAAATGCGGGACCCTTTTACCTAAGGTGAATGTAAGTCTTTACATTCATTCACTGGTTAACAAAAAGAGAGTCGCAACACAATATATCTGATTAACCACCTATAGTAGCCTGTGTTCATCTCTGAGCTTTACAAAAATAAACAAGTGAATACATTATGGCAGAGTAGGGAGGGCAGGCTTTGGAGTTTGTTCCACATTTGCATATTTTCTTGGCTTTTCACTGGTTACATTAACTTATTCAAATATTGGAGGACAAAGACTTTATCTTGTTCTTATTACTCAGCACCTAACTAAATCCCTGCAAACCAATCTACATTAAGATGAATCGGTTGCTATGCCAGCTTCTCAGGGCTGGATATTGCTAAAATTGGAACAACGGTTTTACTAGCTCTTATGTTTTAGCCTTTTGTTCTCCTTTGTGGTGAGTTTCACCTGCCTAACTCGGGTGTCCTCTCTTGACTGTAAACTTTCCATTCCTTAGAAGGAAAGGTAATTCTCCAGTTCTTACCCGAGCTCCTGAAGCCTAACTTATATCAGACATCTAGCAGTGTAGCTTGATTTCAGAATTCATAGCTAAATTCTGTGTGATGTTTCTAACAATATCAATTACAGATCATGAGAGGCTACTGCTTCTCAAAATAAGAGCCAAAAACCATAGGGTAAAGTATAGACAGCTTGATCACTGTGAGTTCTTCCTTAGAGATGCAGGAGTTGGCATCTTCCATCATTCCCAGAGTGAAGCTGACTTTACAGGCCTTGAACTGTGGGAGTAAGAAGTAAAATTGTCTCACCAGCATGAGTATAAATGCTTTTCAACGTATTTTTTGTCTAATAATCTCTAGGTTTTTTCCTTCAGTATCCTGAAACTATGGCATGTTCAAGTGACTTGATTGGAGTAGAAGAAAAGTGTTTCTGTTGTTCTAATGATACCAGAGATTGGATAGCCAGTAATAGATTTTGCAGTTCATGGGGATCAGAATATGCTCATATTGATACACAAAAGGATATGGTAAGATAATGGGAAAGTTTTTTTAATCATTTCACAGATTGAGTTCTTATAAAGGGAGAATAAAAACAATAATGGTAAATAGTAGATGACAAATATGTCAGACAGTATGTTCTAATCATTGCACTTACAAAAACTCTCATAATCTTCAACAAATGCCATGAAGTAGACAGAAAGGAAAGCTATCCCTATTTTAAAGTTGAGGACACTGAAGCCCAGAGCGACATGGCTGTAATTGTTGACTGGGATTTAAACCCTGATATGTTGACAAGCAATGCCCTGTCATTCACCACAACGCATACTGTTTATATAGCTGAACGTTCTTAGGTTATTTTTTAAATCCCTTAACATCTGCATTCTATCAAGAGTAGTCTGGAAAACTTGACTTAAAAAAAAAAAAAAAAAAAAGATGTAGCTCTTGAACTTCAGAGTTGAGGGTGTGAAGGAAGTACACGCACTTTGAAGAAGTGAGCCAGTGAGTAGAAGCACGAGAAGACAAAGAGAGACTTGGACTCTACAGACAGAAAATGAGCAAAGAGAAGGTTCTGTTTGTAAAGAAAGGCTGACTAGCATATTTGGGGTCCAAGATGAAGGAGCAGATGGAGGAGATCCTAAACCCATCAATCAATATCTTTTATTGCCATAAGCCGTGTTTACCCAGTTAGTTTGGTCTCTAATTATCTGAGAAAAATGCAACACCGATGACTTTCTTATTGTGGTAACTACTCAGGTAGTTTGTCACTGATTTTTTTCCATCTTACCAGTACTGATTCCCTCCTTTAAGCCTTTCCCCACCCCCATTCCCATGGTCCTTCCCCTGTGAGTTTTTGGGAAGAGGGTCTGTGAGCAAATGAAACATTAGCATTGGCTCTTTCTGACACCCTTGAAGAACAGACTATTCAGCTCCTGCTGAAACCGCACATTCTGATATCACCCACGTGGGGCTTACAGCCCATCGGATCCTAGTCTCTGTCAATCACTCTGTGACTAGACCATAGTGATGGATTAGGAATCTGAACTTAAAGGGAAGAAGGTCAAGTATGTTTTCCTCATCAATTTCTCATTTAAGAGAAGGAAATTACCTTCAAAAATAGACAGCATAGCTCGCAGTTTCAATTACTAGATGAAAGTCCCACTACTTATTATTATTTAAGAAATAAAAGAGTAAAATGGAAATCTTTCTGAGAAAACTAACCCAAAGATCAATAGCTGTGCTGTTTGTTGCTCCGGAAGCAGTAGGGCATGTACATTAGAATGCAAATCATGGGGCCGGCACTGTAGCACGGCAGGTTAACGCCCTGGCCTGAAGCACTGGCATCCCATATGGACACCGGTTCAAGACCCAGCTGCTCCACTTCCCATCCTGCTCTCTGCTATGGCCTGGGAAAGCAGTACAAGATGGCCAAAGTTCTTGGGGCCCTGCACCCATGTGGGAGACCTGGAAGAAGCTCCTGGCTCCTGGCCTCAGATCAGCACAGCTCCAGCAGTTGCGGCCAACTGGGGAGTGAACCATCAGATGTAAGATCTCTCTCTCTCTCCCTCTCTCTCTGCCTCTCTCTGTGCAACTCTTTCAAATAAATAAATAAATCTTTAAAAAAAATAATGCAAATCATCAAAGATGGGCTGGGTAGGGAGAGAAACATGCTCAGCAGTGCACCCTAGAATATGAAGTCATGGACGATACTTGGCTTTGTGAAAGGAATTCTTGAAGATGTGCACAGGAACTGCTATGCACTGGGTTGGTCTGAGCAGGAGACTGGGAGAGCCTTGGAAATGGACAAACTGTACCACATTGAATGACGGGTAAATGTCCCATGTCGTAGAAAAGCTTTTACTTTGGTGTTAACATAAAAATGTTGCATCACTTTCAAGTGTAATATTATAAAGACATCTTCCTACTTTCTCAACATCTCCAATCTTTGATATGTGTCCTTTCATGTTTAGGTACACCTTAGCACAACCCAGCTTCCTTGAACCTTGTTATATGAGACACAGGGAAATTATTTTCCATTTTTATTTTTATTTTGTGCTCTTGCTAATAAGTTCCATTTTGATCATTTAACTTCATCCACCATATCTAATATTCTTTATTTTTAATGTTTTATATATGTAACTATTACTTGGGAGAATGTTGTCTCCTCCCCTATAGTATTTTCCTGAAAACAAAGTCTTTTCCACTCTCCTTTTGGATCTATGTATTCCTCCTGATGATTATTTCAGCAAGTGATAATTTTAAAAAGGGAACCAATTAATCAAAAGTGAAATATCTAACACACGACAAATTATACTTAGGGCACAGTAAGTTAATCCTCCGTCTGCAACGCTGTCATCCCACATGGGGGCCAGTTCTAGTGCCGGCTGCTCCTCTTCCGATCCAGCTCTCTGCTATGCCTAGGAAGGCAGTGGAAGATGGCCCAAGCTCTTGGGCCCCCACATCCACCTGGGAGACCCAGAAGAAGGTCCTGGCTCCTGGCTTCAGATTGGCTCAGCGCCAACTGTTGCAGCCATTTGGGGAGTGAACCAGTGGATGGAAGACCTTTCTCTCTGTCTCTCCCTGTCACTGTCTGTAACTCTACCTCTCAAAAAAAAAAAACCACCTAAGAGGTAAATGTAAACATCTCCTAGTTCAAAAAAAAAAAAAAAAAAAAAGAGGGGCAGGCGCCGTGGCGCACTTGGTTAATCCTCCGCCTCTGGCACCAGCATCCCATATGGGCACCGGTTGTAGTCCCAGTTGCTCCTCTTCCAGTCCAGCTCTCTGCTGTGGCTTGGGAAGGCAATGGAGGATGGCCCAAGGGCTTGGGCCCCTGCACCCGCATAGAAGACCAGGAGGAGGCACCTGGCTCCTGGCTTTGGATCAGTGAAGCTCTGGCTGTATCGGCCATTTGGGGAGTAAACCAACAGAAGGAAGACATTTCTCTCTCTCTCTCTCTCTCTCTCTCTCTCTCTCTTACTGTCTATAACTCTACCTGTCAAATAAGTAAATAAAAAATATTTAAAAAAATAAGAAAAATTTGGTTATCAAGGGAGCAAATTAATAAAAATGATATTATAAATTGTTTCTTTGTTTTTTCTCAATGTGTTTAAAAGTATCAAAACTTCATTCCATATTTTTATTTTTTAAAAAATATTTATTTATTTCCTTGAAAGTTAGAGTTACACAGAGAGAAGGAGAGGTAGAGAGAGAAAGAAGTCTTCCATCCGCTGGTTCACGCCCCAGCACTGCAGGTGGCTGCCCAACCCACTATGCCACAGCGCTGGCCCTACTCTGCAAGTTTGTAAAGACATTGAAAGCCAGTAACATTTCCCTTGGTTCAACAGCCAGTCCTTTGGACACATACGATTGTCTCCTGAAGGAAAATAGAAGGGGAAGGGGAAATGAATTCAACTCCAGCCAACAAATAAAGTGTGAATAGTGCCAAATGTGATTTCCTTGAAAATAGACTTTGTGGACTCATCTTTGTGTGTGGTTAAATATCAGGTCTATGAACAGAAACTGTGTATTTCCTGGAGTCAGGGCAAGGTTGTGGACAGCAAGAAGTACAATAAACTTGTGAATTGCAACCCTGATAAGTAGAGGAAGCAAATTTTAATATTTTTGATGGCCGCTCACCAAGTGAAAAGATGAAAGCCTATTGTTTAAGCCTCTCCGTTCCCTGATTCTCATTCCTGTTCTTCAAGCTTGTCTTTACAACCTGCCCTTCATCTCTGCAAGATACTTAGCCATTGCCTCAGTGTGCTGGACACTCTCACACTCGTGGGCTTTGTTCTGTTTTTTGACACTGTTTCCTTGGCCTGGTATGACCTTCTCTTCCTTCTTCATATGAATCACATTTACCATGGAATGTTCAGCTGTGTTTCTGCCTGGAAAAGGAACCTTTATTTTTTTTCCCCAAAGAAACCATTTATTTAATGAGTACAAGTTTCATAAGTACAACTTCAAGAATATAGTGATTCTTCCCATCAAATCCGCCCTCCAACTCCTACTCCTACCCCACCTCCTCCTCCCTATCCCATTCCCAGTCCCATTCTCCATTAAGGAAAAAAACTGTTCCTCAACAGTCAAAACAAGGCCTGTTCAAGTCATTGCTTCTCAAAGTGTCAATTTCACTTCTACAGATTTCCTTTTAGGCGCTCTACTAATTATCACAGATGAGGGAGAACATATGGTATTTGTCCCTTTGGGACTGGCTTATTTCACTAAATATGATGTTTTCTAGAGTCATCCATTTTGTTGAAATGACCAGATTTCTTAAACTGCTGTTTGCTATTCCATAGAGTACATATTCCATAATTTCTTTATCAGTCTTCAGTTGAAGGGCATTTAGGTTGATTCCATGTCTTAGCTATTGTGAATTGAGCCGCAACATACATGGGGGTGAAGATAACTCTTTCACTTGCTGATTTCATTCCCCTTGGGTAAATCCCCAGGAGTGGGATGGCTGGGTCATGTGGTAGGGCTCTATTCAGAGTTCTGAGGTATCTCCATACTCTCTTCCATAGTGGCTGTACCAGTTTACATTCCCACCAACAGTGGATTAGGGTACCTTTTTCCCCACATCCTTGTCAGCATTTGTTTACTGATTTCTGTATGAAAGCCATTCTAACTGCGGTGAGGTAAAACCTCATTGTGGTTTTAATTTGCATTTCCCTGACAGCTCGTGATCCTGAACATTTTTTCATGTGTCTGTTGGACATTTGGATTTGAAGAGGAAACCTTTAACCATCACGGCTTCTGCCACCTCTAAGACTCATAGCATGTAGACTGAGTTGTCTGTCTCAGATATTTGGGAACATCTCCATCTCCTTTACCTCACCGGAAGGTTCTAGAAGTGGGACTGTCATAGTCAGCTTTGAATCACGGCACTTTATATGTAATAAATGCTTAATTATTGATTGTTAATTATTGGATTAAATACCCTTAAGTTACAGTGTGCCATATTGTTCATTTCTAATATTTCCACCTGTCTGGGCCACTGTTGTGACACAGCAGGTCAAGCTGCAGCCTTCAACAATGGCATCCCACATGAGCACTGGTTCAAATCCCAACTACTCACTTCCAATCCAGTTCCCTGCGAATGCACCTGAGAAAGCAGTAGAATATGGCCACCCACGTGGGAGACCCCAGTGAAGCTACAGGCTCCTGGCTGTGGCCTGGCCCAGCCCTAGCTGATGCAGGCATCTGGGAAGTAAATCAGTGGATGGAAGATCTCACTCTTTCTGTCTCTCCCGTTAAAACTCTCTGCCACTCTGCCTTTCAAATAAATAAGTAAAATCTTTTTTTAAAAAAATAAAAATATTTCCATCTGTCTGCTTTTGTAAAGATTTGTTTTAGGTGGGGGGCCGCATTGTGGCATAATGGATTAAGCCACTGCCTGTGATGCCAGCATCCTATACGGGCACCTACTTAGGTCCTGGGTGCTCCACTTCTGATCCAATTCCCTGTTAATGCACCTGGGAAAGCAGTAGAAGATGGCCCACTCCTTGAGCCCCTGCACCCGTGTAGGAGACCCAGATAAAGCTCCTGGCCCCTGTGGGGATTGAACCAATGGATGGAAGATCTCTCTCTTTCTCCTTTTCTCTCTCTAAACCCTGACTTTCAAATAAATAAAATAATCTTTAAAAAAAATTTTATTTTGGGAAATTGAGTTGTATGTCCAACTAAGATTAAGTACTATCTGCAGAAATGACTTGAAGGAGATTGTCATGGGCTAAATTTAAATATTGAAAATGTCATGTATATAAATATACACACACACACACACACACATATATATATATATCAACTCATTAATACACTCTACATCAGGGCAAGTGTTACCAATACTGAAAAAATATAATGTACAAAAATATTTGAAAACACTCATGGTAACTGAATTCTAATTTCAGTTATACCAATACATTATTGTGTGCTAAAAGATACAAAATGACCCCCAGTACACCTCCCAGTTCATGATTTCGGAGAGGCCATTTATGCAGTATTACTAGTAAGAAGGTGTCATTTGGACTAAGCAATTCCATTATGTAGATATTGACAGATGAGTCAGTGAAACACCACTGTTGAACTGCAAAACACAATAAAAACACCACAACTGATGAATGTAACATGATAAAACACCAGAACATGCAAGATGTGAGCATAAACTGTCAAAAGACTAAATTAACTTCAAGTGATGTCTTTTATAATAAGTTTGGGAATGAGGATGGGTAAAAACACTTTTTGAGAAATACTTTCTATCAATTGCTCTCTTATATGCTTGACATAATAGCAACAAAAAACACACAGAGAGGGCTGGTACTGTGGTGCAATGGGTTAAGCCACCGTCTGCAATGCAGGCATTCCATATGGGCATCAGTTTGTGTCCTAGTGACTCTGTTTCCAATCCAGCTCCTTGCTAATGTTCCTGGGAAAGTAGTGGGAAATGGCCCAAGTGTTTGGGCCCCTGCACTCACGTGGGAGACCTGGAAGAAGCTCCTGGCTCCTGGCTTCAGCTTGGCCCAGTCCCAGCAGAGGGAAAATCTGTCTCTCTCTCATTCTCTCTGTAACTCTGACTTTCAAATAAATCTTTAAAAAACATGCATATGTAGAACCATGGTTGTGGTGAGAAATGTTTACAAACACCTACCAAATATTTAGTCTTTAAAACAAGTTTATAAAATAGAAGGATGTGTTAGGCAACTAACACCATGGAGATAGGAAAAGAAAAATCCAGACTATGAGAAATGATAAACAACCATGACCCAATTTTTGAAAAATAAACAGCAAAGAAAAAAAGGACAGACACAAGTTACACATTTACCAATAGTAATGAGGACGGATTCTGAGGAATCCCATGAAAAGAGAAAAAGAGACATTTTAATGATGATGAAATACTGGGTGATATTAAGAAATGACTGCTCATTATTTTAGGAAGTGTGGTAGATAGCACTCTAATAGCCCCCAAAATTCCAGCCCTCTATTGTAGAAGGCCTGTGTAACTCCTTCTCTGTGACCCCGGGTAGGATGGTGGATGTGATAGGTTATCACTTGCATGGTTAAGGGACAGTATCCAGGAAGTTGATGGGATTTTTAAGGCTAAAGAGGGGTCCTCAGTTGTTTTTTCCCCCAGAAACCTTTATTTAAGGGACACAAACCATGCATTTCCTAAATACAACTTTAGGAACATTGTGATTCTTCCCACATACCCACCCTCCCACCCCTCTTCCTCCTCCCTCTCCTATTCTCATTCTTATTTATTACTAAAATCTATTTTCAGTTAATGTACATGTTTACAAAGTTCAGTAACTGTTTCCACATGCAGAGGTTATGCACGGGAAAAGGCTGGTCGTATTTTTCAGAGATCATGAAATACTAACATCAGCGAACAGAGACAAACACATCAAGGTTCAGCTATAGGCCAATTAACAAACCTGTTCAGTCCCCACCTGGTCATGTGTTCTAGTTCTGATTCCTCCTTGTAGGCACAGGCAAGTTGCCACATTCTGTGTACTGCTTCCCAGCAACTATTGATGTTGAGCTGCAGTGCCATGTAGAAACACCCGGTCGTGTGCAGGAACATCCACCCCATCTGGAAAGTGTGCTTCAGAGAATGGGAA